GTCCCCGGGCAGAGTCTGCGGGTCTACTCGGACCTGCACGCCTTCTACTACTCGTGGTACGGGAGCCCGCGGCGCGAGGGCCACTACATTCACTGGGACCACGTCATGGTGCCGCACTGGGACCCCAAGATCTCGGCCAGCTACCCCCGCGGCCGCCACAGTCCCCCTGACGACTTGGGCTCCAGCTTCTACCCGGAGCTGGGGCCCTACAGCTCCCGGGACCCCGACGTGCTGCGGGAGCACATGACCCAGCTTAAGGAAGCCGCCATCGGTGAGCCCTCCCCACCCCTCCCCACGCGTCCCTGTCCCCCAGCCTCACCCTCTTCCTTCCTCCACCGCAGCTCCACGTGGTCCAGTCACCCGGCCTTTGGCCCCACTCACCCTTCAGCCTGGCTTCATACCCCTTCCGAGGCACCGCCGCACTTTCTATCATTCACACGCACCCACCTCTGCCTTCTGACCCCCAGCTATTCAGGCCCTTTCTTAGGGCAGACCTGCTGGCAGAGCCTGTGGAAGGCGGTTGGGCCAGAGCTGTGCCAGGTACGACCTTCATGTCTGTTGGATTTCTAGGTTTGGGTAAGTGAAGCCTGGGTATCCACAAACGGATAATCCGCAGGAGTCTTGCATTCAGAGTAGCGCCGAGCGTGGCCGCTGCCTTCATACCAGCTACCGGGGAGAGCAGCAGCCCTCCCTGCGCCTGCTGGCTGCAGGAAGGACAGTTTGTCCAGGTGCATGATGGACCCTGCTCTGCAGCATGGAGTCTGGGATCTTCCCTTAAAGTACTCTGCTTGAGAGGAGGTCCGGGAGCCTCCTGGAGGCAGGCTGGGTGGGAGGCTCACCTGTTTCAGATTTTGTCATTGAATTCCGCTGGATTTTACAGTCCATTTCAACTTATCTGGAAACAGTGAGTGAGTGAGGGAAAACCCTGAATGCCAGAGACACTGGGGGAGGTATTCACAGATATATAACACAACGCCTGTCCCTCGGATTTTACAGTCTAGAGTGGCAGACAGGCTAGCTAGACAAATGCTATTTCCCACCAGAAGAATCAGATGACCTCTCTGTTCAGGGCTCTTCTCCCTTCAGGACCGAAGAGGTGCTCCTCTCTTCCTGGGATAGGACTGTGCCTTCCGGGTGGGTGTGGCATTGTCCACCCATTTCCCTTTGTTCTACTTGCTAATATCAGCAAAAGCCGGGACCCTACCCAGGCTTTTCTCAGGATCCTGCCAGGCCTGATGCGTTCAGCTCGCCCCGGACGCTGCGCTTCAGCACCGTGGGTGAGGACAGCTCCAGGACCCGGGCTCTGGAATCTGATCGGCAGGAAGTGAACCTGGCAGGAGCCTTGCTCTAAGGCAGCGGTTCTCAACCTGTGGGTCGCGACCCCTTTGGGGGTCGAACGACCCTTTCACAGGGATCGCCTAAGACCATCGGAAAACACATATATAATTACATATTGTTTTTGTGATTAATCACTATGCTTTAATTATGTTCAATTTGTAACAATGAAATTGGGGTCACCACAACATGAGGAACTGTATTAACCCTTTGCGGTCCAATTTTATTTTTGGAATTCAAACAGTCTGGTCCAAATTAATTGACGGGATTGAATGTTGAACTGGTTTGCGGTGTCTCAGCCTCGACGTTGGACCTGCTCCTAGTGCCTGGTCTGTCGAGTCAGCCTCCACGTTGGACCGAAAAGGGTTAAAGGGTCGTGGCATTAGGAAGGTTGAGAACCACTGCTTAAGGTTTCATTCAGAAACCATTTTGCAGTTGGAGGTGGTCTGCGAGGAAACAAATCTCTGGTGTGGGGATGCTGTGTGTCTCTGAAGTAGCTTGTGTTGTGTTTCAGGCGTCCTGGTCCTGTCCTGGTATCCACCTGGCATGGCTGATGATAATGGGGAACCCTCTGATGACCTGGTGCCCGCCATTCTGGACACCGCCCATCAGTACAACATCCAGGTGAGTCTTCAAGAAGAGGTCAAGTGCCCTCTGGCCCATTCTGGAGATGTTCCCTCTTCTGCCCATAGGGATAGTGCCTCCACCCAAGTTCTTGGCATGAGCCCAGCTATGGCAAATAAGTAGCAAGTGTGGTGTTGCGGGTGGGGTTCTAATAAATACTGCCTATGTCACTCAAGTTTTCAGTTCTGAAAAAAAGTTGGGAAAACTAAATATAGGAGAAATGAGAGACTAAATATCAAAATAATAGAGTTTAAGTTGGAGACCCTGACGCTGGAGAGGGCAGGCAAGAACCAAATGGGCCCACAAACAATTCCAGCCTCAGCTTCCTTCTGGGAGGCAGTGCTGGGCCTCAGGGAGCAGAGCACACCTGTTCTCAGCAGGTAGGCTTGCTTTCAAGGGGAATGAGGGAGCTGAGCTTAGCATATCCGGTTATTTTCCCCAAATGTACCAATTAAATAAGTCATTCTCCTCTCCTGTGGCAGAACAACGATGAAGAAGAGCCTCACTCCCATTCCTGAGCCCATCACCAACATGCATAATAGGTCATAGCACATTTCCCATTGACATAGCTTCAGTATAATTCTTCCCACAGTTTTAGGTATCAAATGCCAATCACTTGAACTGGCAGATAAGTTGAAACCTATTAGCCATCCTGCCACAGCCCAACAGAATATCTCTCCCCCTCCCCCCAAAAAAGTGATGCCCAGATGTGGGAGATGGGCAAGCTTCTTGCCCCTCTTTCTTGGCCCTGAGAGCAGTGGCTGTTTTATGTCTATAGTGCCCACCATTGCCGGGCCCTCTCCTGAACTCAGCCTCTCCTCTAGGCCATCGTTGGAGCATCAGCCTTATAGGTTGTGACCCCTGGACAGATAATCACGTGACCAGTATCTCCTATCTGTGGCAGGTGGCCTTCCACATCCAACCCTACAAGGGCCGGGATGACATCACACTGCATGACAACATCAAGTACATCATTGACACGTAAGGCTGCTCTGGGGCATGGACTTTGGTGGGGATCAAAATAGGAGTAAGGATAGGTTTGGAGGGGCAGGTCAAGAGACACACGGGCAGAATGCCTGTGTCCCCAGCAGTTATTTTATAGTAAGAGAGTATTGGGTTTTAGAATCAGCAACCTAGGTTTGAATTTTGATTCTGCAGCCTCCAATCTGTAACAAAGGCAAGCCTCTTTTTTAAAAAAATGTATTAATTTCAGAGAGGAAGGGAGAGGGATAGAAACATCAATGAGAGAGAATCATCAATTGGCTGCCTCCTGTATGCCCCATACTGGGGATTGAGCCCGCAACCTGGGCATGTGCCCTGACTGGCTATCGAACCATGACTTCCTGGTTCATAGGTTGATGCTCAACCACTGAGCCACATGGCAAGCCTCTTATTGTGTGAGTCTTGTGAGAGTTACATGAGTTAATATATGTGAAAATGGCTTGTACAGTGCTTGCACGTCATTCATTCAAAAACATTTATTGAGTGCCTTGAGTTGTCGAGGCAGTCCTAAGCCTGTTGTACGGTAGTAGGTAGGACTAGCAAAGTTTACATTCTAGTGTATGTAGTGGGTGCAGTGGAACAGAGAGTAGTTACACACGCAAAAATCAAATAGTGATTCATACTATGGAAGAGTAATAATAAAGGATAAAGCAGGGTGTTGTGTTTGCTAGAGTGTGTCCAAAAAATATTTTAGAATGGGTGGTCAAGTGAGCTCTCTGAGGAGATGACATGTGGGCTGACACCTAAATGAAGAGGCAGCTCTGCGAAGATCCGGGACAGGCAGAAATTCCAGGCAGAGGGCTGTCAGATCCAAAGGTCATAGTTTGGGACAAGTTTACTGCTAGAAAGGCCAGTGTTGCCAGAGTGTAGAGGTAGATGGGATAATAGCAGGAATGGAAGTGGGCGGGGCCAGATCAAGTAGGTGGGGCCTGGTGGGTTTTGGAGCAATCAGATCTGATTTAGACTTTAAAAAGAGAACTGATTATAAGGAGGTAGAATTGGGAGCCTGCAGTCCAGATGAAAGGTGATGTGGCTTGGCCTGGGGCAGGGAGGTGAGGCTTGACTAAAGGAATGACAAGGCTGGGGAGAGGAGGGAGGGAGCTAGTTCTTGCTTAGAGGCATGACAATCCAATTATGGAGACTGGCTGGATCCAAAATTGTGCTTGGGCATCCGGAAAGCTCTCATCCATGGCTGGTGACACAGCGGTGCTGGCTTCTGCCACCCGAGCTGCCACTCAGGTGCTTCTTCCTCTGCTCCTCAGGTATGGCTCCCACGGTGCGTTTTACCGCTATAAGAACAGCATGGGAAAGAGCCTCCCACTCTTTTATATCTACGACTCATACCTGACAACCCCCGAGGCCTGGGCCCATCTCCTGACACCAAGTGGGCTGCACTCAATCCGCAACACCCCCTATGATGGGGTCTTCATAGCGCTGCTGGTGGAGGAGGGCCACACCCATGACATCCTGGCCGCCGGATTTGATGGCATGTACACCTACTTTGCCTCCAATGGTTTCTCCTTCGGCTCTTCCCATCAGAACTGGAAAGCTGTGAAGAACTTTTGTGATGCCAACAACCTCATGTTCATTCCCAGTGTGGGGCCTGGGTACATTGACACTAGCATCCGGCCCTGGAATAACCACAACACGCGGAACAGGGTCAATGGCAAGTACTATGAGACAGCCCTGCAGGCAGCCCTGACAGTGAGGCCCGAGATTGTCTCCATCACCTCTTTCAATGAGTGGCACGAGGGCACCCAGATTGAGAAGGCCATTCCCAAGAAGACGCCAACTCGTCTGTACTTGGACTACCTGCCTCATCAGCCCAGCCTGTACCTGGAGCTGACTCGCCGCTGGGCGGAGCACTTCATCAAAGAGAAGGAGCAGTGGCTGATGTGAGGGGCCTGAGGTGCTGATGTCCCCGCCTCACTGGAATACTGTCTCCATGTGGGGCTCAGCCGAGGGTGTAGGTACTCGCCGTCCCCTTATCAGCAGCTGGTGCCTCTGGGTGGGCCATCAGGCCTGGGCCCATGTAGGAACAGAGCCTGTTCCTCAGGCAAGTGGTGCTGGGTTGCTCTGCAGCGACAGGAACCTGGGCAGTGCTGCAGAGGGAACTGTAGAGGCTGGCAGGTAACTGGATGTAGCCCAGGGAAGCTTCACATCCTCAGTGAGACACTGAAATAATCCCTCTGGCTTTGAATTCAGCAGGTTGCTGTGGTGTGGTGGACTCGCCAAGCCACTGCTCTAGGAAGGGTGTCGGGGTTCTGGGCTAGCATGCACCCTGCTCCCTTCTGCCACCCCTGCCCTCTCTTCAGGCCTCCTTCCCACATTGACCATCTTGTCCAAGTTAGGGAACCATACTTGAGACTTTCTAAAAGGGAAATTCTAGGATTAAGCTATTTCCAATAGATTCCTGAACCCAATTTTCAGGAAATAATCCTGGGCACTCACACATTAATTCAACACAGACTAACACCACTTTACTACCAGGAGCAAATGACCAGAAACGGTTCATCTTCCTTACAGGACCCAGCTTCCCTCATTTGGTATGGCCTTGTAGCTGGTGCAGAAGCACAGCTATAGGTTTTACTTTTGCAGTTTTACCCACTGCTGGGCGTTCTGTTTTCCCTAAGAAAATACCTCTGTGCTCAATCCTCCATTTTCCCAGATGAACATTTAGCTTCAGGGAGAGGACTAGGACTTCCCCCTCCCTTTAGCTGCCTAAATGGAATGAGGCCCATTCACTAGAGCCATTTTCAGTGCTACTGTGATTTGTATTATTAAACAATGTGGTCTTCTCAAGTAAGCATTCCTCTTGCTCTCCTCAAGACTTCACAAATTCTGGCCCTGTAGTCAGATTTGGAGACTGACATGAGGGATGACTAGTGTTAGCACAGTGAAGAGGGAGGTTGCTTAAGAAATTAGCAAGATTGCTAGAGGGAATATTTAACAAACCATTGGTTCTTTACAAATAATCTAATGTGCTAACTACAAAGACACTCAAAGCAGGCCCTGGGACACCTTTTGGCAAATTATTAGGATCTACTTGAAAATACAGTGGGGCCTTGACTTACGAGTGTCCCGACTAACGAGTTTTTCGAGATACGAGCCGTCTCTCTTGGCCGATTTTTTGCTTTGAGTTGTGAGCTAAAATTCGGGTTACGAGCCAGCTTCAGATACCCCACCACTAGTTGGCGCAGCGAACGTCACAGTGAACGCCACATCAGCCCAGCATCACGTGTCTCACTCGTTCATTTTTGATTTGACATAGGAGTAATTTGAGTTACGAGCTCCGTCACGGAACGAATTAAACTCGTAAGTCAAGGCCCCACTGTATGTACATTGCAAACCACTATATTGAGAAGTTTATGGGCTCAAGAGTGAATCCCAATTCTGGGAACTGGGATGCAAGGCAGAGGGGAGGTAGTGGGCCCTACTGGGTACCACAAGGACTCCCAGTTGCAGTGAGGTAACTGATACTAAACCCCACTGATGGACGGGGTAGGCCTGGTCACCTGCTTGTGACTTAGTTGGGGCAACAAAGGCAAGCAGGGACAGGTGAAAAGGGCTGGATGGGATGACCTGTAATTTACAGAAGGGGTAACACTGAGGCCTCATTTCACAAATATACAATTTGAAAAATACCAAAAGCATGGCAGTGCTCCAGGGGATGGGGGCAGTAATTCTCACATCACTGATGGCAACCGGATTCAGTTCTCGAAGGCTAATCTGTATCAAGAGCCATAAAAATGTTCATATACTTTGACCCAGTAATCCTACCCCAAGGAAATAATTCAAAGAAGAAAAACAAACCATTTTCAAAGATGTCTAATAGAGGCATTATTTCCTATGAAAGAAAAAGTTCAAATGCCCAACAATAACTATGTTCAATACATGGTATACATATGAATGCAGATAAAGGCTGCTGAGTGGACAGTAGGTTTAAATAATGGTATCATTATAATGTATTTTATGAATAAGAAAAAAGGCACTGTCTGAAGAGATTTATTTTCCTATACTCTTTAATTTGGATCCCCCATCCCACTCCCTGCCAACCGAGCTGACTTCCCACCATTAGTAGAGAGCGACGACCCTCTGCCAGGCAATGCAGCATGCCGCCCCACCAGCCCCTGGTTCAGAGGAAAGTGTGTTTGGCCTGTTACTCTACAGTCTTTATGCTAACCTGGTTCCAGCTTCAGGAGCACAAAACTCAAGCCTTTGGTCACTTGAGTCCTTTAAACAGCACCAACTGGCACTCTAGCTTATTTGGACCTTAAATGCCACCAACTCTCACTAGATTCCAAATGTTATTTAAATTATATATCAAGAATTTTTTTAAAAAAAAGAGAGGGAAAGAAGCTTATTAGAATAAGAGCATCCTAGGAATGTTCTTAAAGTCTCTATTCAGCTTTAGGCTGACATATGAAATTATAGACAATAAATATAGCCCCCTTCCCCAGGTGTGAAGCTAAACCAGCTTCTTCTGGGGCCTGGTTACAGTGCTCATAAAGATAAACTGCCTTCAAAGTCAGACTAGTGACGCTGTGGCCCCAGTGGCCTCTCAAGTGAGGCCTTGCTGCCATCCACTAGACAAGAAACATAGTGTCCAGCATCAGTCCCTGGGCACTCCTGCCTCTCAAGTCTCAGCAGGATCCCTGTGAGGGAGCAGCCCGTACTTCCTCTGGAGGACATCCGTAGTGTTTTCCAGGGCACTGAGGAGGAAATGAAGACAGTTAAGAGTCTGACTTCTCAAAGCCCACCAGAGTCCAGTGATCAGGGAGCTCTAACTCTCTGGTCTTACTGCACTCTGTTCATCAAACCCTTGAAGAATCCTCTTGAATCCTGAAAGAAACAGCAACCACCAGCAAACTTAGTCTCACTCCACCCACCACTTCTCCAAAATAAAGGTTGTCAGGGCAAGAGAGTGTGACAACCTGTATTTTGTCAAGGCCATTTTTGCATTCCCAACCTCCCTCAAATTCTGTCCCCACAGCATAGGAGACAGACTCACCAGCCTGCACGAATGATGCCAAACTTTCCAGGCACAGACAAGTCAACCACAGTTGAGCCGAGGCGACACTTGGGGCTCTTGCCATCCCCAACTGGCCCCCCATCGATTACCAAGGACAGCTGAGGCCAGAGGTCCTGGAACTCCTAAGAAGAGGGAGAGGAAGAGCATGGACACTAACCCCATGCAATGTCGTCACAATGCAGGCAAGGTTCACAAGACAAAGGCTACACAATCCCAAACCAGCAGGCACATTCCTATAAGAGGGGAAGGAACCTCAATTAATTAAGGTCAGCTATGCTAAGGACACTACATCCTATGAGGTTTGAGGTCCCCTCCCCCACATCAGCACCCCAAGTAACATCTATCTAGAGCTCAAAGAGTATCTTGCTGTGCCAGGAAGAAATTCCATACATCATTTCTGTTGGGGAGTTGTAAGCACAATGACTGGAGTCCAAGGTGGAAGCCCAAAGGGATGGGCTCTACCCTGGACTATCCCCCAAATCTCGGTATGACCGCATTCAAGTTACTTTATCTACGGCTGTAAAATAAGGGAGCTGGACAGATGCTCCCTAAGGGTCCCTCCAGCTCTAGCACTCCGATCCTGGATCTCAGGGGAACTGTGGATCACGGTACAGAGAGGAAACGGAGTGGACTCTGTAAGTGCATGCCACCAACACTCAATCCTTGGGCTACGGGAAGGGTACTCCCTTCTTAGCTACAGCATCGCCCACTCCCCCTCATCCCTGCCCTCACCCCTTATGAAGATGGGCCTGGGAATTGGGAATGGGGGAATACCAGTTGGATAGGTCAACTGTTTGCTGAGCAGGCAGGAATACCTCCCGCCATCCCCTTCCCCACCGCCTTGAGTATGGCCACCAGGACCAAGTAAAAGCCTGCAGTCTGGGAATAAGAAGGGATGCTGAGCTCTCACTTTCCCAGGCTCCTGAACCCACTCTCTAGGTCTGGGCATGGAAAACCACATCCCTTTGCTATGTTCTGCATTTAAGTTCAGTAAGAAGAAAACAGTGTGCTAAGTTGAATTTCTCTGTGTCCTCATTTGTTCCAAGCTATGCAGCTAACACAGGATTAGGATGATCCTTTGACCTGGCTCATGGCAGAGGTAAGAGAACGTGGTCAGGAGTCCCTGGGCCAAGTGATTTAACTTTTTGGAACCTTAACTTCCTTTGTAGCACTGTTGTAAAGACTTACTGCCTTATTCCCCAGTAACTGCTACCCCGACAAGGGGAAAACAATTATACTTATCATGTTTCTTATTAAAAAGACTAGAGGCCCAGTGCACGAAATTCGTGCATGGGTAGGGTCCCTAGGGCCTTCCTTGTTCTGCACCGCCCCCTGGTGGTCAGTGCACGTCATAGCGAGCACTCAAATTTCTGGTTGGTCAAACTCCCGAGGGGACAATTTGCATATTAGCCTTTTATTATATAGGAGGATAGAAAGAAAACACTCATCATTCCCTCCTCTCCAAGCTTTGTAATAAAACCTTTCCAAGATTCTTTAACTTGGATTTCCCCCAACTCAACCCCTGCCAACTGGGCAGACTTAAACTCTCCTGTCGGGCAATTCCAGCAAACCACCAACCCCACTGGTTCAGAGAAAACTGTGTTAGGCGTGACGACATTTGGGGATGGAACGACAACTAGGTAACTCTCACCTCCACATTCAGAGAACTGGGCTGGGAGCTGAGGTTGGCACTGGTGAGAGCAAGTGGCCCCCCAAACATCTGGGCCAAGTCCTGCATGAAGGCATGGTCAGGAATCCGGATGCCTACAAGCTATGAAGCAGGGAGAAAGGGGACCATGAGAAAGGATGGAAGGAGTGGGTTACGGGTCCAGCCTGGGTCCGTGTGAAAGCCGAATGGGAGGGAGACACGAGAGAAAATCCGACTCACGGGAGTGAAGGGGTTCAGGTCCTTGTTGAGCTCCTCCGAGCGTTCCATCACCAGGGTCACTGGTCCGGGTAACAGGTCTCTCAGGAGCCCCTCGGGTACGTTCACATGACAGTACCTGGGAAACAAAGGGGCACAGCTCTACCCAAGAATGAAGGGCACTGCTGGTCCCGGTCCAGACTCTAGGCAGATCCAGAAGAGGGGGCCCTCGGGGATACAGCGGGACCCATGCGTCTTCCCTCTTCACCTACGAGCCTGAGCAGAAGCCTGGGCTCCGGAGAAGCACCCCAAGCTTGGGGCCTACACGCCTTCGGTCTCCGAAACTACAACGGCTGCGCGGCTATCCCGTCCGTGTTTTATTTCCTCTTCAAAGCCCTCTCGGCTAAATTAAGCTACTGTTTCCTTTTCCTTTTCCCTTTTTTTAAGCGTGGGCGTTCCCCGCCCCGCCCCCATTAATCACAGAAACGCCAGACGAGGGGCCTGGCCGGCCTGGTTCGTGGCGGCGCCGCAGCCTCTCGCCGAGGGCCTGGCCGACGTGAAGTGGCAGACACACATTTCCAGTTCCGGATTCCTGGGCGAGCCGGCAGGCCCCTCCCGCTCCCGGCGCCTCAGTCTCCCAAGCCT